ATTAGGTTGTCCCATTGAACCTAGATCGTGGGATCTCCAGTCAACTAGGTTGGGTTTCCATTCCGGTAACTTCCAAAGGCCTCAACCCCATTCCTTTTGACGGCGTCTCGACTAACACTCGATTTAACCCTTTGGTTAGCGGATTCGCAATGTTGTCCTTAGACTTTACATAGTCTATAGAGACAACTCCATTCGAGAGTAGTTGCCGTATCGAATTATGTCTACGATGGATATGTCTAGACTTTCCATTATACATATTACACTGTGCCCTACTAATTGAAGATTGACTATCACAATGAATACAAATAGCTAGCACAGGTTTAGACCAACGTGGAATATCTTCAATGAAATGGCGAAGCCATTCAACTTTTCCTGTTGCTTTATCAAAAGTAATAAACTCTGATTCCATCGTAGATCTAGATATACACATTTGCTGGGAAGATTTCCAAGACACGGCTGCCCTTCCGAGGGTAAACAAATAACCACTAGTGGATTTGGAGTCTTTTATATCAGATATCCAATTAGCGTCACTATACCCTTCTGGCACTGCTGGATATCGAGTATAATGCAGCCCATAATCCCGAGTGTAGTGTAAATACCTTAACCCCCGCACAATGCCCTTCCAATGAGAAGCATCGAGATTACTTGTGTATCTATTAAGCCTGCTAATTGAGAAGCTATATCTGGCCTAGTACAACTCATCAGATACATCAAACTGCCAATGACCCTAGAATATTCTAGCTGAGAGACACTCTCATCATTATTCTTGGTCAAGTGCAGACTGACGTCTACCGGTGTCCTAAACACACTTGTATTTGATTTACCAAATTTCTCAAGTATCTTCTCAACATAGTGAGACTGAGAAAGTACAATTCCACCAGATATTCTGGTAATCTTAATTCCCAGAATAACATCTGCAATGCCCATATCCTTCATGTCAAACTTAGAGTTTAACAACTTCTTGGTAGTTTTGATTATTTCATCGTTACTACCTATAATAAGCATATTATCAACATATAGACACAAAATGACATAACCTCTGTCAGTGTCTTTGACATAAACACACATGTCACATTCATGGATTCTAAACCCATTTGACAACATTACGTTGTCAAACTTCTCATGCCATTGTTTAGGCACTTGCTTCAAACCATACAATGATTTGACAAGTTTACAGACTTTCTTGCTTTGCCCTGGAGCTGAAAACCCTTCAGGTTGCTCCATGTAGATTTCTTCATTCAAATCCCAATTTAAAAAAGCTGTCTTTACATCCATTTGGTGTATCTCTAGATTGCGCAAAGCTACTATCGCAATCACCATACGAATGGATGTTGTCTTAGTTACAAGTGAGTACATATCAAAGTAATCCAAGCCTTCTTGTTGCCTGTACCCTTTGATAACGAGCCTCGCCTTATACTTGTCAAAAGACCCATCGGCCTTCATCTTTCTTTTAAAAATCCATTTGCAACCTAAAGGCATACAACCTAGAGGTAAATCTACCAACTCCCAGGTGTGGTTTTGTAAAATGGAGTCAATCTCACTCTTAATGGCTTTTTTCCACAAAGGACTTTCAGGTGAAGTCACAGCTTCATGGAAAGTTCGAGATTCTCCCTCTAACATACTAGTCAAAAAATCGGGACCAAAGGACTTTGCAGTCCTAGCCCTCTTACTCCTTCTTAGCTGATCATCACCTTGTTCTCAACTTGATCATCAAAATAATCATCATCACTAGTAAGCTCATCAAATTGCTCCAAAACCTCGGAACCCCTTCTTAGGTTCGGCAAGGAAAAATGTCTTCAAAGAAACATGCATTCCTTGACTCCATGATGGTATTCCTGTGTATGTCTGGAATAGCAGATTGAACCACAAGAGAATCGATATGCACTGCTATATTGTGCACAACCGTTGAATACACAGTCAACGGATTTTTAGGCTTATCCTAACCCTTTTGGGTTTAGGTATTCCCGCCTTTTGCATGATACCCCCACATTTGTAGAATTTATACAAAGTCTTTTGACCTTTTCCAAAAATTCATACAGTATCTTAAACAATTCCTTGTGTCACAATGATTATGAAACTCTCAAAATCATATCACAGTAAATACATTCCCAGAATGTCATCAACTAAATTAGGCACCCAAATATATTTGGTCTAACCTATCACTTTGAAGCCAATAGCCTTACTATTAGGAAACACAAATCCAGTGTTCAATAATCTACTATTCGGAACTTCATAACATGGCCAGTAGTCTTATCACTAGGAATCACTAATTTCTCAGCATGTGGTCAGTAGACTTTCTACTACTAGGCATCACAATGTCTTAACCTGTGATCAGTAGTCACTTTACTACTAGGAATCACAACGTCCTGACATAGGATTAATTTACTAGGAATCATCATGTCTTGACATATGACCAGTAGCCTCTCCACTACTAGGAACCATGATGTCTTGACATGTGATCAGTAATTTGTTCACTACTAAGAACCACAATCTCATAATTGTGTAGCCAGTGGTCTAACACCTCCTAGGAACCACCAGTTTTCTATCTCTGTGATCAGTGATCTTGTACTTACTAGGAGCCACCAATTTAAGAATATATTTGGAATTTAAAAATCCAAAAAATATTCACCCACTATAACAGGTTGTCTCATCTTTGCTTTCAAGCAAAATCACATAGCAATCATAAATGCTATAAATAACACAAGGATACTATACAATTGCCTCTGATCAAATCAGAGAAATTTTTAATGCAATCTTATGATTTCCTTTAATCATACTTGATCTCTCAAGATCTTCCTTTAAGAATCTCGCGAGGCTAAGGTTGTCAGGTGGAACAACATTTCTGTTTGTCACATTTTGAAGCTATTTTTGAAACATCACAACAGAATTTCACTTCTATGATTCCAGAAATTAAACTTAACTCTTAGAAAATCCCTCAGATGGAAATTTAATTCAAAACTAGTCTCACCATTTAACCTATAATCGAACATGGTCAGGAATGTTCCCAGGAATACTGGAGGGGTAACATCGATCCCACTTAAAACCCAGTTAACCTTTTGACAAAACTTTCAAAACCATGTTGACTCCTAGTCCATGGGAAACAATTTAACAATTAAGATTTTCAGGGGATAAACAAGGTTATAACAAACAAATTTCCAAGCAAATAAATTTGCTACCAGAATTACACCACTTATAAAAGTTAACCGGTACTCCCGGAACTGAGCTCATGATTTCTGAATAAAAATCAGAGATATTTTAGCTAATGCTAAAATTTGATTTCTTTTCTCAAAACCACAACACTTTGGAAATAATCAGATTATAAACCAAAGATTTTCTCTAAACTTGGTTTTCCAACACTTTGGAAATAAAATGATTAAACCCAGATACTTCCTCAAACCCCAAAGATTTGAAACCAAATTAAATAAAATAGCCAATCCATCAGGATTCTATTTAGGCCAAAAGCCTTTCCACGCTTAGGTTTCCTATTCAACACAAAAGTTAGTAGTCCAAACATTTTTGTTTTTACATCCCAAATACTATTTATTTGGTTTTGTATTTGTTTTTCCACTCCCTTTTGCATAAGTATTCCTGTAGAGAAAGTTAGTAGCAAACCACAACAAAATACAAACAAATAATCTAAGCAAAAAATAAATATAATAAATAATTGAAACCATTTTAAACTAGTAACTCCAAATAAATAAATTAAATTCAAAGTTAATGCATCCAATTAAATAATTCAGATTAATGCACCCAATTAATTCAAATTAATCATGTACACAATTCATAAAACTCTATAACTCCAAATACATTAAACTAAAATTAATACGCAAGAGTTACAATCCAATAACTATTTAGCAATTAACATGCAAAAAATTCTAAAAATTAAATCATGTAAGAAAACTAAAAGCTAGAAACTAAATAACATGTCAAAACTTGCAACATCCATAAATTATATTTTATTACCTTAAAATTCATGCGAAACATGGTAGGGGAATGATGAACCATACGTATAAAATAAGATCGTACTAATATAATTAAGTATGCAAATTATGATAGAACATTCTAATTAAACTAAGCAATTAGAGAATAACATTGCATAATTTACAATCATTGAAATAGTGAGCAATTCTGCAACAGTTCCTAGTAACATTATACAAAGCTAACCTAATTGTCTATATAAATCTATTCGATCAATTTTATAGAAAATATATAAAAAATCTGTTTTAAGCTTGTTGTTCAAATTGTGAAATTAATTAAATAGATTTATGAAGAAATCAAAATTATATACCAAAAATATATACTGATAATTACAACTAAATTTCAGCAGAAATACACAAAACAATAAAATGATAATGAAACCAAACCGAAGCCTGCACGGTAGCAGCTTCCTTAAAACAGATTTCGCCGCCTCACAGGTCGAGTGCTTGAGGAATCTCGGCGTCTGTCTCCCAGGATACGACGGTCAAAAACCAGCTACGGCAGAAGCATTCTCTGCCTAGCTTAGCGAACAAAAACAGTGGCAGCACTCTCTCACAGTATGAACTTTCTGGAAAACTGACTAAAGAATGGAAGAAACAATTTCTATGTTTGAGACTTGAAAGGAGGGTCTCAATTTATACATGTATAGGGGAGAGAGGAGAAGCCTCCAGCCTTTATGGCTGGTCACTAATGCACCATTAACCTCTGCAATAAAGGCAGGAGTTACAAACCCCATTAATGCACTATTAAACTCTGCAATAAAGGCAAGAGTTACAAACCCCATTAATACACTATTAAACTCAGCAATAAATGCAGAAGTTACAAACCCCATTAACTCTTTCATGAAGCTAACTTTATGGGGCAATTTCTCATTCAATTCTCAATGATTTTTGGCCATTCTATTTGTGGTGCAAAGATCTCATTGCAAAGTATCTAGACCCACTTGGACCCAACAAAATAGACGGTTGGGACCCACTTTAATATTTAATTAAAGACACCAAAAATCCATTTTTTCCCAACAGGTACAACAACATATCTAATGATTCCAGGACTGCTGTATGGGTTGCCAACAGAGAAGTACCCATTGTGGATTCCTCTGGTGTTCTAAAGCTTACCCAAGAAGGCGTTCTTGTCCTCAACCACGCAGATAGCATCAAAATCTGGTCTTCCAATTCATCAAAATCCTCGAACAACCCAGTTGCAGAACTCTTGGATTCAGGAAATTTTGTTTTGAGAAATTCAGATGATCATAACCCAGAGAATTATTTATGGCAGAGTTTTGACGATCCAACAGACACGTTTTTACCAGGTATGAAGCTTGGAATCAACAACGTTACTGGACTAGACAGGTACCTGTGGTCGTGGAAGAGCAGTGACGATCCAGCTCGAGGAGTTTTTACGTACAGGATTGATCCTCATGGGTTTCCACAGCATTTTCTGAAGAAGAACTCTGTTCAGCAGTTTCGTTCTGGACCATGGAATGGTCTCTGGTTCAGTGGCATGCCTAGGATATCTTCAAACTCCATTTACAATTTCACTTTTGTGTTGAATGAGAAGGAGATTTATTTCACTTATGACCTTCTCGACAGCTTGGTTGTCTCGAGGATGGTGTTGAATCAAACTGGTGATCTGCAGTTCATGAGGTGGAATTGGAGAGATGGGTCAACCAAGAGTTGGGCCCTAGAACTAACCACTGAAAAGACCAATTGTGATGCTTTTTCATTTTGTGGTGCTTATGGTCTCTGTACTGTGGGTAACTCACCAGAATGCCAGTGTTTGGATAGATTTGTACCAAAATCCCCAAATGATAGAGGCACAGAAGCAGATGGTTGTGTTCGGAGAACACCCTTGAATTGCAGTGCTAATGGAGATGGGTTTTTGAAGTACTCAGGGGTTAAATTGCCGGACACACGAAATTCATGGTTTAATTTGAGCATGACTCTTACGGAATGTGCGACGATGTGCTTGAAAGACTGCTCTTGTATGGCTTATGTGAATTCGGATATAAGTAGACGAAGTGGATGCTTGCTTTGGTTTGATGAACTTTTTGATATTAGAGAGTTCTTTTAAAATGGTCAAGATCTTTACATTAGAATGGCTGCTTCTGAATTAGGTAACAATTCCCTTACCAAGCCACATTGAAATCTGGACCCGCAGGCTTAATTTCATTATCTTGCCAGTTCTTGATCTATCATATTAGTGATGTCCTTAGTGTGGCTTGGTTTGAAGAGAAACATCCCCAAATGTAACCTAACCACCTCGAATTTCTAGTTTTCTAGCATTTAAATAAATTTAATTGAATTGCTTCTGTTGAAAGTATGTATTATTGATTGATGTGTATATATTACAAGATTGATGTGTATATTGATGTTACAAGCTATTATATAGGAGAGGTGTGAGGTAGGTGAGTGGTGGTAGTGGATGGTAGTGGAGGTGGTGGGTGGTAGTGGAGATGGTAAGTGTGTTAGGTTTAGTGGAGTGGATGTAGTGGGTTAGGTTAGTGGGTTAGGTTTAGTGTACATTAACAGCCCCCCTCAAACTCAAGGAGGATAGGAACTAACCAACTTGAGTTTGAAGAGAGTAACAAAACAGAAAAGTAAACTGATAAATAAAAAACAAAACAGGATAGGAGACACGGTATGGTCGTGTCGGACCGTTGTAGCAGACAGTTTACGGGGTCATGTCGGACCGTTGTAGCAGGACAGTTTACGGGGTCATGCCGGACCGTTGTAGAAGACAGTTTTACGGGGTCATGTCGGACCGTTGTAGAGACACTGTGTGGTCGTGTCAGACCGACCGTAGAAAGACAGTTTATGGGGTCATGTCGGACCGATGTAGCAGCTGACAGACGGAATCAATGTCGGACGTTGTAGAACAGTTTATGGGGTCTATTTGTCGGACCGGTATGTCAGACATGATGTTGTGGTGGTGGCACCAAGGGGGCGACTTAGGGAGTGCGTCATGAGCGACTTATACATGATACTGTGTATAAACCCCCCCTCAATCTCAAATAGGTGTGAAGATAGAAACCTATTTGAGGTTGAAACAAAGGGATTGATAAAGCTGACCGGTGTAGAAGATACTGTATGAGTGTGTATATAGGCCTGCCCAAAAGATATACATGGATATAGATATCGAGCCTCAAAATCGTGCCCTCAAAAGGTGTGCCCGCACCTCAAAAAGGCGTGTCATCAAAAGGCGTGCCGATGCATCAAAGGCGTGCCATGAAAAGGCGTGCAGTTTGTCGCGAGAAGAGGCGGCGCGATGCGGCGGGCTGCCGTCGCTATTTTACCAAGACGGAGCTGAGGCCGAGGCAGAGGCTGAGACAAGAAAAGCTGAGAGAACCTCTGAAGAATTCTGGCGTTGTGCTGAGAGAGAGAGTCTGTAACACTGTTGGCGAGAGAAAATGGCTTCGTCGTCCCGTGGCCTGCTCACTCTCTTTCCCGATCTCAACGAGTTCCACAGGAGAGAGAACTGGTGCGGTGTCCCGTGAACCTCAACTAACACCACTGGGTTTGCTCCGTTGAACTTTTCCGATGCAGTCGTGGAGCAAAAAATGCAGTGCAAACGGATGTGGAGGCTAAATCAGTATACTTTTGAAGGCATGTGTGGAGTCTATGACGGCGGTCACAAACTTGTCGCACCGGCTGCAGAGTAGGACAAATGAGGTGCAGCAATTAAACTCCCAGCTGGTCTTGCTCCAACGATGTATAAGGATGCGCGGAGCAGAGATAAGCGTGCTAAGGGCAGAAAACAAGGGAGCTGAAGCGGAAGGCCACCGTGATGTTCCGATTTGGAGGGCCGCCATATGCTGCAGTGGAGGAGCAGGGAGTAGTGATCGTGCCCAGTGGAGTGGGAAACACGGAGGCAACACCGTCAAGGGCCGCCCAGGACGGAGGCAAAAAGAAAAGACCGGCGGCAGAGTAGAGAAGAAGTGAGGTCGATGTATGGCCGCTGCACATGTAGTTAATGAATGTGTTGTTTGTTTGTTGGTTTGTTTCTTTTTTTATTTTTTTTTATTTTTTTTTTCGGTGTAAAATTGTGATCGGGGTGGATCCCTGAGATGAATAAAATAGGGGTTGTTGTGCAAATTTGTAAATGTTTGTTTGTTTTTTTTTTTGTTTTTTTTGTTTTTTTTGGTTGTGAAAAGAAGGGATTCGAAAAAAAATAAAAAGAAATAAATAAATAAGGGGATGGTGATGAAATGATGAGTGTGGGGATGATGAATATATAATGATGAAGAAAAAGAATAAAGGTCGGAGTGGGAACAGACGGTTAATGGTTCTGAAACAGTGGGATGAAAAAGAAAAAAAAAAATATATATATATATATATATAATAATAAGAATAAAAAGAATGGGACAAAGTGGGAGTGTGTGGAGAATTATTATTTTAGAGGATGGGGTATGGCAGCATGATGATTATGTCTTTGTTTTGGGGGTGTGAATGTATGGTGTGTGGGTTGGTGCCGAGAGTGAGAAAGCTGGTTTGGTGAGGAAAGGAAAAGGAAGTGGAGTGTCAGATCCACTCACACTTGTTTTTGTGTTTTTGCTTTTAAACAAACATTGCAGTTCAGCACTATGCGAAGGTCATGAAGACTGTTAGAGAAAAGGCAGACTTGTTCTCAGAATCTCAAAGAATTCAATACACCATTCAAACATGAACGCAAGATATTCCAGATCCCCGAACATATCTGTTGACGCTGAGGGAAATTCGAATCAGGAGGGGCCTAACTGATGAACTTGGTGCAGAGGCTATGATGATGGATGCATTGGAAAAAATTGAAAAAGAACTTAAGAAACCACTCATGCGGAATGACAAGAAGGGAATGGGTCTTCTTATGGCAGAATTTGATAAGATCAATAAGAAACTTGGAATAAGGAGGGAAGATCTGCCAAAGTATGAAGAACAGTTGGAACTCAAAATTGCCAAAGCACAGTTGGAGGAGCTGAAGAAAGAAGCTGTTGAGGCAATGGAAACTCAAAAGAAGAAGAGGAGGAAGAAGATGAGTTGCTGCGAGGGACGAACTCGGGTGCAGCGGCGGTACCATCGACGTGGCAAAGGTGGCGTTGCATGTCTGAATATGTGTGTGATGTCCCTCTGTTGAGTGGTGTGTGTTCTTTGGTCTCTAGAGATCATATTTGTAGACTCTCTCTCTCTCCTGCAATCCCTCATTCTCTCTGATTTCGCCATGGATGGGAGTAAGCAGAGGTTCGAAGCTCTCGGAGAAGCAGAGAGGTTGTAAGTAAACAATGTAAAAAGAGAATTGTATTATTGATTTATGTGTATATTACAAGATTGTTGTATATTGATTTGTATGTTACAAGCTATTATATAGGAGAGGTGTGAGGTAAGTGAGTGGTGGTAGTGGATGGTAGTGGAGGTGGTGGGTGGTAGTGGAGATGGTAAGTGTGTTAGGTTTAGTGGAGTGGATGTAGTGGGTTAGGTTAGTGGGTTAGGTTTAGTGTACATTAACAGCTTCAATTTTAGGTCAAGCTAGCCACACTTTGGCAGCACATGTGGTCCGGGCAGAGCCAGATCAGGGCACAAGCTGGGGCAATTGCCTCTCTGAATTTTGAGAACTACTGTTTTCATATTTATTTGAACTTTTTTATTTTTCAAAAATGGAGCATGTGATCCAACTTGGTTGGCTCAACTGGCTACATTTCTATTTAGCAGGTCAGGGGATCAATCATTGCTAAGTGCAAAGATTGATAATTTCTACTCTGTAACGAGGCCATTTGTTGTGTTATTCATTTCTTATCAATTAGTGGCCTATTTCTTAGAGCATCTCCAACGGTATTAGGCATTTTACCTATCTAAGTATTACTATAAAGTATATATTTTATTTTTCCGGTCAACTTTTTATGTTTTTACTCTAACCATGCTCTTTATTTTAGCTATTCATCCAAATACTATTAACTTTATAGAATGCCACGTCAACGACAAAGATGGAGGGAAATAATCATAATGATTAAATACATTTTGCCTAGTCTTAAAGGCTAGCTACATGTAGTTAATGAATGTGAGCTGAGCCAAAATGCCTAATCATATGCCTAGTGCATTGGAGTTAAAAAAAGTGGGTCACATTAGGCATTTTGACTAACAAGCATTGAATGCCTAGTGGGTTGGAGATGCTCTTAGGTTGGTTGTTTCTTCCCCATTATTGGGCTCTATTTTTATCTTCCTAAATTAAAATATTTATTATTTTGATTGTCAAGGAAATGTTTTGTCCCCTGTGGAGAAGAATCCTTCCTCTATTTGGAAGAGAGCAAAGAGGATCATAGTCATCTCAGTAGTCTCAACAGTAACACTTATATTTGGACTAGGCATTACGTTTTACATTTGGAAGAAGCAGCAGCCAAAAATAGAAGGTAACCCAAATTAACCATTGATGTTTCAGAATCTCATGTTTATGGGTGTGATTGAGTGTATATGTGCCGTTTTTCAAATTGCAGTAAGTATACCCTTCACTGAACAAGTTTCATTTAAACCCGCCTCTGCAGGACCAGTAAGGCATCACCCTGGAAAAGGTTACTACAAAAAAACCAAAAATGAAGATATAGAGGTACCATTATTTGACTTGGCTACAATCGCTAGTGCTACAGATAACTTTGCAATTAACAATAAGCCTGGAGAGGGCCGATTTGGACCTGTTTACAAGGTAACAAACAATATTGGTTACGAAGTTCAAGGCAGTCGGTGCTAAATTTTTTCACTATGTTGCTAGAAACTTCCCAATGTCATGCAGAATTGATAACTCAGCAATTTTAGTCAGCACATGTGCATTTAACAAGAGTTCTAATGAAAAACCATGGAGAATGATATTCTGCATGGACTTTAATGGTGACTGTTGTACATGATTTTGCTGAGTAATGGCATTGAAAGAAACATTATATAGAAGAAGAAACACAAAAGTTTGATAAAGTAAAATGTACATGGCTTCTTTCAGTGGCAGCATATTGTACCTAACAAACAAAATGGTTTTTAATTTTCAGGGTTTGCTGGAGGGGGGACCAGAAATAGCTGTGAAATTGCTTTCGAAATATTCCAAACAAGGTGTTGATGAATTCAAGAATGAAGTTATATTTATCGCCACGCTTCAACATCGGAATCTTGTAAAGCTTCTAGGATATTGCAATCAAGGAGAAGAAAGGATGTTAATATATGAATACATGCCCAACAATACCTTGGATTCCTTTGTTTTCGGTATGGATATCTCAAAACCATCATATTCTGATTTAACCAGTATTCCAGCTAATTAATTACATTCTACTTCATACTGGATCAAGAACCTGTCCTAACAGACTTTCCCAATGAAAATTTATGTCTGTTTATTGGAATCATTTTGCATACATACTCTAGAAGCTAACTACTAGCAGCTTGGTTTAACTTGGGCAAAAAACTGGACAGATCAATCATGAAGGATGCTGCTGGATTGGCCTAAGCGCTTCCACATTATCAATGGAATAGCTGGGGGGCTTCTTTATCTTCATCAAGATTCTAGACTCAGAACTATCCATAGGGATCTAAAAGGTAGCAATATTTTATTAGATCATGAGATGAACCAAAAAATATCACTTTGGCTTAGCCAGAAGTTTTGGAGGAAATGATGCAGAAGAAAATACAAAAAAAGTTGTCGGAACATAGTAAGTGTTAATACTATACCTATACTACTATACCTATAATTTAATACTATAATACTATACCTATAATTTAATACTCTAGTGATCTGTAATTGATCTGTAGCTCGTTGTTGCTAGGCTAGCAATAGTTGTTGGCAGATAGACATCTTCTTTACACCTTCTTTTCCTTTTGCTTTCATTTGTATATTTCATTGGTTCATCATTTTGTCTTGTAAAACATCTCCTATATAATGGAGGCTCCATTTGGTTGCAATACACATCAAAAACACAGAGCTAATATTTGCTCTCTCAATCTATCTCAATTTCTTATAGTAAGAATATACTAACACGTTCAAAATTAATCATCCTCTTTCAACAATGCTCATAACCTAGTTTATTTGTTCATTGTTTTCCTATAGTGGTTACATGTCTCCGGAATATGCAATTGAGGGGCTTTTCTCAGTACAATCAGATGTATTTAGCTTTGGTGTTATGGTATTAGAAACAGTGAGCGGGAAGAGAAACAGGGGATTCTATCACCCAAATCATCACCTCAACCTTCTTGGGCATGTAAGCAAGCATAGAATTGAATTTTTTTTTTCTTTTTTTTAAACAACTGATTAAAAGTGTTTCCAATTGTTCAGGCCTGGATACTTTATAAGGAAGGCAAGGCAACAGAATTGATTGATGCAGCAATAGAAAACTCATGCAATTTACACGAAGTGTTGTGTTCAATTCATTTGGGTTTATTGTGTGTGCAACATCAGCCAGAGGATAGGCCTAACATGTCAACAGTGGTTCTGATGTTGGGCGGAGAGGGTGCTCTGACTCATCAACCTAAACCACCTGTTTTTTTCACTGAAAGGAATCTGCTTGAAGCAGAGTCATCACGGAGCAAGAATGAACCATGTTCAGCCAACATGGTCACTCTAACACAGTTAGAGCCCCAATAGACTTGTCTCACATTGTCTCTCTAAGCCACCCAAGCTTAATTAATATATTTAAATATTGTCAATTGGTTTTGAGTTGCATAATTTAACATGTCTTAATTTTTACGGTCCAATACATTTGAGTTCAGCTAATGAAAGTTTTGTTGTTGTTGTTGTTTTTGAATGGGTTTGTTCATTTAGTTTTGTTTTTGTTCGAGTCATATGATGTATGATCCTTCTAAACTGTGAACTTTTTACTAGAAGCTCTCCTTATCAAGTTTTTGCCCACAAGTTGCAACCAGCTTCAGAAATCTTTATATTTGGTTGATTTTTTAAATTTTGTTCACTGAAAATTAGTTTGGTGAAAAAAAAAATGATTATTTTTATAGAGTAGTTGCATTTTTATATGGTTCGTCTTTTTTCCCTTTAAAGAAAAATATGGTTTATCTTTTTAGGGTGGAAATAATTTTTGAAAATATCAAGATATGTTTTTGGTGTTTATTTTGTCAACTTACTTTCTAATTTAAAAAAAAAAAAAATTGAATAAATTAGAAAACAATTCTAAAAAAGGCTGTCGGTTGATATATCCAATCCTATATTTTCTTTGTTTGGAGGTCCAAGTGTACATTGTCCATAAGGACAAATTAGGATAATTCTATTTTCACACATTAATTCCTTTCAGTACACACACTTACTGAACAACTTCTCAATACACACATTATAAAAATATAAATTCTTAGTACACATCCCTATATTCCAATATTACTCTTATTTTCAATTTTAAAACCCTAAGACTATGTTTGGTTTCAATGTTTGAATCAATTTTTTTGAAATTTTTTTTGAGAAAATTATAAATTAATTTGACAAAAATAAATACCAAAAAAATATTTTTTAATTTTTTTGTCCCTAGAAAGATAAAACCATATTGAAATGAGAAGTTTTTATTTATTTATTTTTAAAAACATATTTTAAAACTAGATTAAACACAGCCTTTTCTTTCTCTTTTTAGATCACTGGTTCTTCTCAATGGAACACAGAGCATTGTCTGGTCATCTAACCTGTTAAGATTTGAAGAAAGTCCAGTGGCACAGCTCTTAGATTCTGGAAATCTTGTTCTGTTTGGCAAGACAAACAAATTCTGATAGTTTCCTATGGCAGAGCTTTGATTTCCCATGCAATACGCGGATACCTGACCTGAAGATGGGAGAGAACAACAGAACAAGTCTCGATCAGTATTTAACATCATGGAAAAGCGTTGACGATCCATCTCTGGGAGAGTTTACTTACAGAGTTGATAATCATGGGTTGCCTCAACTAGTAGTTAGAATGGGATCAATAAAAAAGTACCGGTCCGGGTAAAACTCAAATTCTTTAATCTTCCCTTGTACAACAATCCGGCGTTTAAAACAATGATGGAGTTCAACAACAATAGATTGATATATATCTATGAACCATACAACAGCTCTGTCTTTACAAGATTAACACTAAACGACGCTATATACTGAACAAAAACAAGAAAGGTATTTTGAGGACTTCCATTGATGGGCTAATGTCCAATTCATGGAATTCCTCTGTTATTCCGTTATTTATTCCATTTATAAATGAACACTTTGCAGCACAATGATTCTTCCGTTGGACTTGGTAGTGTCAATAAAGAAGACATGGAATTCCAGAGTCAGTTGATGCTAATTCCACAGTCATCATTTACAGCAAGTCTTCCTTTCCCCTCACTGGGTCATTATTTGCAATAAGTTTTCCTTTCCCCGTCGTTGGGGGCATTATTTAGAAAAGCATACTTTCTAAATTTTAAATGTACCTTTTTTCAGTAGGAACTTGGAACAACCAGATACTGGGAATCTTTGATAATAAAATTCATAGACCAACATAATTTTGTCCCCTTCTTTTGTTTGTCCTTTTTTCATTGGGCAAATGACCTGATGTCTTCTCTGATGGGGCATGATAAAGCTGTTATCACTGAAACTGAAGAAGTTTCAACACATCAAGTCATACCCCTCAATGTCAACTTTAGAAATTGCCATTTTAATCTTCTGTTGCTTTGTTTGTTTGTTTGTTTTTTTTTTGTTTTGGTGTTGGTTAAGGTTAAGCATACAGATAACAAAAACTGATACCACTATCAGCCCAACAAACCCTTATTTTCTCTCTATTAGACATCAAATTTGGAGAGCAGGATGTTTTTTTCTTTTTGGGAGCCTTCTAAAACTTCCTTTCAACTAGTGGTCCAAAGGGGAATCCCATGGAGTACGAACAATCAGTCATGCTCATCACAATAGTCTAAACCAAATTGGCATTAAATTAAGACGATCAAATTCACAGTCGATCTGGACATTTTGAGGAAAGTAAGGCATTCAAAACTTCATAAGACAGGGCAAGCAAGCTAGTAAATAGAAATTCTATTATAGAATGCAGTTCAGTCCAACCACTCTTTCATAGTCTAGCACCTTCTCCAGTGAACAACTCCATACATACTACTAGAGGAAAATAACATGTTCAGAGTTTTTTTTTTTTTGACAAATAAGATTTATTACCAAGAGCGTCAAGAAGATGCTGAAAAATACAAAAGAAAGAGCCCCCAAAAAAGGAAAACACCTGACAAATCAAATCATCTACAAAATCCATGAAAGCACACAAATCCGGGTTCACCCTCCCGACACCCAACTATACAGAACCTCAAACAACTTGTGCTCTAACCATGACAACGAACGAGCAACCTCCTGAAAGGTACAACAATTCCACTCTAACCAAACCAACCACATTAAGCACAAAGGGGCCAAAGCCTAACCCCAAGCCCTCTTATGCTGCTTCCCAACCAGACCCCCTCCCCAGATAAAGAGAACCTCTAGCACCCCCTTCTGCTGGACCCACACAACACCAAACGTTGAAAAAATAAGCGCCACAACCGAGATGCTGCCGGACAATGAATAAACAAATGATCCACAGACTCTGCGTTACCACAACAAAAAAACACCAATTGACTTGAATATGATGACGGCGGACCAAATTATCAATAGTAAGGATCCTGTCAAAAACAACCGTCCACACAAAAAAAATAAAAAAAATCACCTTTAAAGGAACAACTATCACCCAAACATGTCAAGGGAACTCCTCCTCCACACACCCCCACAAAACCCGATAGTAAGATGATTACCAAAAAAACCCCTTTTGAACCCAACCCAACAACCCCCCCTCCCCTACACCAAAACATCATCCCTCACCCCCCCAACTAACACCCCACATAGGAAACCCAATAAGTCCACCAGCCTTCCCTTTTGTTCAGAGTTTGTTATCAGTGCACTGCCAACTTTTTCATTACCACAAATGTTCGGACATCTCATCATGTGCAGCTTCAATTAGGGGCTTATGTGTGATATAAAACGGAGCATCATTTTATTCTATTGATTTAACAAACCAAAATTTTGAAAGAGGCTTGCTATAAGTATTCCACCAAGAGTATTTCACTGAATTTCTTCACCTTCTGTGGTTCGCTCATGTAATATAGTGGGCCTATTATTTTCCTGTTAAAATTTACCATCACCTACCACACACTTACCATCACCTACCACATACTCACCTACTACACTCACCTACTCCTCACCTACCACCACCTACTCCACTACACCTACATCTATATAAGGAACCATTTGTAATAGACACAACAAGAATACATCAATCAATAATATACATCAATATATTTTAACATGGTATCAGAGCAGGTTTAGAACCTACTATTTTCGCTTCCCCGGCGGGCGGCCACCTCACCTTAGCTGCCCGCCGGACCTCAGCCTAATCCGCTAGAGTTTTCTACACATACCTTAAAATTTATTCGAGTCCACCACCACTGCCCCTCCTCTCACTGTTGTCCTTCCATACACCACTGTTGACCTGCCGCGCTCCCACCTCCTCCGCACCTCCGGCCCCGGCGCCACCCCCCTCGTCCGCGGCCTCGCCGACGCCATGCTCGACCGCGTCCATGTCGTGGCCCGTTCCTTTTCCAGCATTTTCATGCTCGCTGCACCCCTTGTTGCTGCCTCTGTTGCGAGTTCCCCCCTCTTCTGGTCGAGGTACACTCCGATGGCCGTGAACTTTATAAACTTCCCTTGGATTTCCAAACCCCTCTCTCCTGCGCCGCCGAGGAAGAAGGACTTGACCGTGCCCGGAGGTTTGACAGTGAGAGGGAGCTGCTTGTGGACCGATTCCCGCTGCTCTCCTCATGGCTTTCGATTGGGCAAGCATCTCATCATGATTCCGTTTCTCCAATACATCTCATCATAGTTCCACTTTACTACTTTGTTTCTTTCTTTTTTTATTTATTTATCAAAAAAAAAAAAAAAAAAAAAAACCGAATCCAAACCCCCTACATCAATGACCCACGCTTCCACATCATAAAACAACGTGATTTGGCAACAACATCAACCCCAAGAAAAGCCCACGACACCCACCTTGATTTGCACATGTATCTCCACTCTCTTTTTTTATTATTCTTCTTATTTTTTATCTCTCTCCTATTTCTACTTTCCCTCCATCATCTCCTTTCCTATTTCTTTTCTTTTTTTTATCTTTACTTTCCTCCATCTTTTGACAAGAGTACTATATGCTTGTAAAAAATCACGTTGATCGGATATCGATAGCTATGTGAACAAAACAGTTTTTTATCAACCGTTAATTTTTTCACCGTCCATTTTTTTTAATACAAAACTGATTTGATCACATAGCTATTGATATTCGATCAACATGATTTTTTACAGGTATGTAGTACTCGACGAGTTCTACACATTGACGGTTCAAATTATCAAAACATGCCCAAAAAATGAGCCCTATAAATCGAATTGGACGGGTCCAGTCTTGATCTCAACTTGAGACAAGCTGGATCCTTTTTATATATAGTAGTGTTGGGATTAGCAAAATGATTCACACCAAATCTAAGTTGCTCACATCCAATAGGTAAATGACACTACTATACTAGTATTATATATGTCCCATCTTACACTAATGTTTAAATTATGACAAATATATGCTTTGGTGTCTCTGAGTATGTTAAAATTGAAAGTGGAGTGGGGAACAGGAGTGTAAGGAAAAATTGGTTTGAAAAAGAAAAAAGGAGGAAGAGATAAAAAAAATAATAAGAAATAAATAAAGAAACAAAGTAGTAAAAAAAAAAAAAGAGAAGGAACCGATACACATGATCTGCACAAGATCTGCACACCTCACACTATCACTCTCTCTCTCTCCTTTTCTCCTTTCCACCCAACCACTTGTTTTTTTTTTAAAAATATTTCACCCCACTCATTCTCTCTCCCACTACATGGGTATTCTCCTCCTTTGTCTGCGACTCCATTTCCCCTTTCTTTTTTTATTTTATTTTATTTATTTATTTATTTATTTATTTATTTATTTCTTTTTTTTTTTTCATTTTTTTTTTTTCAATTTAAAAACAAACAAAAAAAAAACAAAACCACCAAACAAAAACACCCCGTGACCAAGCCCATGTGACCCAATTATTTCTTTATTTATTTATATTGAGAGGAAAATAAACATATACAGAGAAGAAAATAAACATATACAGAGAGAGAGAGTAAAAGAAAAAGAAAGGTAAGGGAAGCATCAGAGGGACGCCTGGTCGGCCACCGCAGCAGGTGTATGTTGGTACGCCGGGGCTGCTACCGCCTCACCCTCCTCACCCGGCTGCCGATGGCTGCCAGCAGCAACGCTGGCCTGGTAGGCGCCCAGGTGGTGCCCCAAATGGCAGTAGGCCATTCCAACTGCAAACAAAAAAAAACCAAACAAAAACAAAAAAAAAAAAACAAAACAAAAACAACCAAAGGAACCAAACCCACACACATCGGAACAGTGGGATTTTTCTTCTCTACTCTGTCGCCGGTCTCTTCTTCTTGCCTCCGTCCTGGGCGGCCCTTGACCGTGTTGCATCCGTGTTTCCCACTCCACTGGGCACGATCCCTCCACCATACTCCTCCACTGCAGAATATGGCGGACCTCCAAATCGGAACATCACGGTGGCCTTCCGCTTCAACTCCTTATTTTCCGCCTTTAGCACACTTATCTCTGCTCGCGCATCCTTATACATGCGTTGGAGCAGAGCCAGCTGGGAGTTTAACTGCTGCACCTCATTTGCCCTACTCTGCAGCCGGTTCGACAGGTTTGTAACCGCAGTCATGGTTTCCACACATGACTTCAATGTATACTGATTGGCTTCCACATCCGACTGCACTGCCATTCTTTGCTCCACAGACCGCATAGGAAAGTTCAACGGAGCAAACTCCAAGGCGCTTGGTTGAGGTTCCAGTGCCACCGCACCAGTTATCTCTCTTGTTGACTCGTTGAGGTCGGGAAAGAGAGTGAGCAGACCGCGGGAAGATGAAGCCATTTTTCTGGGCAACAGAGTGTTACAGAGTATCTTTCTCAGCAAACCGAAGAATTTTTCAGAGGTTTCTCTCAGTTTTTCTGTCTCAGCTTCTGCCTCAGCCTCAGCCTCCGTCTTGGTTAAATAGCCGAGGAAGCCACGCGTATCGCGCGCCACTTGACGCCAGACGACAAACGGGCGTTTTGATGGCACGCCTTTTGACAGATTGGGCACACCTTTTGAGGGTGCCCCTTTTACAACGGTCCGACATGACCCCATAAACTGTCCCGACATTGATTCCGGTTAGCTTTTCCAGTGTCCTCTACAACGTTATGACACCACCATTCAGTGTCCTCTACCACGTTATGACACAACCATACAGTGTCTCCTATCTTTTTTTATTTTTATGTATTTTATTATTTTGTTCCTCTCTCCAAACTCAAGTTGGTTAGTTTCTATCCTCCTTGAGTTTGCGGGGGACTGTTAAAATTTACCATCACCTACCACACACTTACCATCACCTACCACATACTCACCTACTACACTCACCTACTCCTCACCTACCACCACCTACTCCACTACACCTACATCTATATAAGGAACCATTTGTAATAGACACAACAAGAATACATCAATCAATAATATACATCAATATATTTTAACAATAACCACATGATGAAATTGTGTAAAAGAGGATAGATTGATCTCATCTACCCTATAATTATGGTTAATACTAGTACAAATTCTAATAATGATATGTTATGATCCTACAACATCTTTCGAGTTTCTCTATATATTTTTTTTAATGAGTGTTTTAAGAATATGTTTTAATAAGTTTAAAATAGTTTGTGTATGGTAAAAAAATGTGTAATCATTATAAACTTTGTTAATCAATATATAAAATGGTTTACAACTCTTAAAATATTATTTTTAAAATTTACTTTCACCGAACTATTATATATTAGATATTGATTTACTTAGAAAAACAATTAAAAAGACTTAACTCTTCGTCGTTTCCGTGTGAGTAAATTAACAAGTCTTTAACATTACTCTTAATATATTTAGAGACTCATTAATAAGACTATTTAATTCATTGTTAATTAATGCAAGTTGTTAATAAAAAAAAAGGCTTTATTTTGTGTGGGATTTGTTAACTTATTGTCAATTAAATTGTTGGGTTTGGAGCTGGATGGCTTAAGTTTAGGAGAGACATTTAATAGCCTGACACATTTATGATTTAATAGTTAATAACAGTTGATTTGTGTTGGAAAGTTTGGTGCATTCATGTGAAGCTTTGATGGGTTTTTTTATGAAGAGTCTTGCGAACAAGTGTTTATAAGATCGGTAATGTTACATGCATAAATTAGTGTACTAATTAGTGTATCAATAGGAACAGGGGTCTCTGCTGTACTCAAAGCACAACAGTGATTGTGGTGTCTCCGTTTGAGGTGTATTATGGTCTTATTTTTATGATCTAAACCGTTCATATTGTAGGGTTTGTTGAGTACTTCATGCCTACCAAATATTATATTAATCGGATATCAATAACTATATGATTAAATCACATATTGTTTATGCTATTTCTCAAAAGAAAAACTTATTATTTATTTTTTTGGTTTTCGATCATATAGTTTTTGATATCCGATTAATATGATTTTTGATAGGCATGAAATACTCAACAAACCCTACAAAATAAACGATTTAGATCATAAAAATAAGGCTATAATACACCTCAAACGGAGGCACTACCATTACTGCTGTGCTTTAAGCACAACAGTGACCCCTTTTCCGTATCAATACTAGTTATGAAATTATTATTGATTCCACTCATTAATCACATTACAAATACCAAAAATCTTTTAAAGAATACAAAATATTTTTTATTAAATTCAATACACTTTTATTGAAATCAATATATCTATACTATATATTAAGCAAAAGGGGTTTTTAACCCCAAGTCTTGTAGGAGCTCCAATCTCCCAATCTAAATTTCTTGATTTAAAAAAAAAAATCTTAGCATTTATTAACACTCTTAACTTCCAAGTCTTACCCTCATAATAATACTTTAATGCATTAAGAACAAGCATAAAAAAAAATCTTTGAAATCCAACACATATGAATTTCTTGAAAAGTCCCAACACATATGATTATTATCCCTCATAATAACACTTTAATGCATTAAGAACAAGTATAAAAAAAATTTCTTGAAAAGTCCAACACATATGATTATTATCAACATATTAAACTTTAATATAATATAATAAAAAAAAGACATTTAATTCCTTGAAAAGTCCAATACATATGATTATTATCAAAATATTAAACTTTAATATAATATAAAAAAGGAAAAAAAAAAGACATTTAAAAAAAACATTGAAAAATCACAATTTACATATATAGATAATTGTAAACACAATCCGCACATAGCACGGGTGATATGCTAATTATTTTATATTTCAATGTATTTTTTAACACACCTTTTAATATTAAATAATATTTAAAGAACACTCATTACCATTTATCTTTAATTAAATATCTTAAAGATACCAACTAACAATCAGGGTTGGAGAAGCTAGTTAATGAAGAATGATGAGGGGCTCCACCAAGAACATGAATTGTGTAATGCTACCAGTTTTTAAGTTTCTGTTCTTAATGTTTTAATACAAAATTGTAAATTTTATTTCCTTTACTAATCATAATTTTTTTGAAGCATCATCTGACCATGCTCAAAGATGCCTTTACAAACAATCACCCAACTAATAAACCCCATTGGCTTGGGTGATGTGAATTGAAAAAAGAAAATAAAAAGGTGTCTTTTTTTCTTCATTTGTGTGTGTTTAGCTTTTTTAGTGATTTTATTTATTTATTTATTTTTATAAAGTGAAAAACAAGTTAAATGTGCTTTGAAAATAGTGTTTTTTTTTTTTTTTTAATTTGTAAATTGTATAGAAAAACATGAATGAGTGAGGTGTGTGACTTACTTTTTTATTAAATTTTTAATATTTTTCTTTAAAAATCCAACTTCCAAACATCTCCTCTGAATCACCTAGTTGGATAGTTTAAGGAGAGAAAGAAACCGGGAGAAATTGAGAGATTTTTGTTAATTTTTTTTTAAAAAAAATCTCTCTCTCTCTTTTTCTTTTAAATTGGATCGAAAGGAGACAAATTAGTTGTTACCATTTTTGCCCTTAGTTTTATGTAAGGCGTTTTTTTATTTTTTGGATAAATTATAAATACACCATCTGAGGTTTACTTAAAATACGAATTGTCCCATGTGATTTGAAAAATTACAAATACTTCATTGTCAGAATTTTTTATTTAACAGAATTAATTGAAAAAGTAAAATTTCTAACTGTTTATCTATACAATAATAAAATTATCTGAATTATTAATTGAAATAAAATTTTAACATTATTAAAAACTGTTAATTAACTTAATAATTTATTAATAAAATGACTTATTTGTTATGAAATTAGAAATCTTATGGAGCATAATGTAATTTCTAGAACCACATGAAATAATTTATAATATAAGCAAATCTCAGCAGGTGTGTTTGTAATTTACTCTTATTTTTTTTTTATTTTGTTTCTCTTGCTTCTATGTTTGATATTACTTCAAGCAAATTATAAGGTGGTAATCAAACTTAAAACATTCCTCTCTCAACTTTTCAATAATAATTTTTTTTAAAATCTTCTAAATTTGTTTACCTCATAACTTATAAACAAAGTTGTATCAACTACTTTGACACAAACTTACAAATAAATTGCATCAATCTTTGTTAAGATTTGGAAAAAATACATCGAGCTCCACATTATTTATAATATTATATTAGGTTATCTTGAAATTTTAATTCACATGACACTTAACCCCAGTTTCATCAATAATTTATTAGTCATGTAAATAAAACATAATATTGTCATTTCTTTAATTCTGAAATGTATATATTACCTAAGTTTATTCATATCTCTACAACTATTTGCATGAATTTCGATCTCTTTAACCTTACTAAAATAGATATTAATATTGTGGACGGATAAAAACATTGACCCAAAACCCAGAGATGTTAGCCCAAGGCCCAAAGTTCAAGTCCAGCTAAGAGCGAACAGTGTCACGTGACCAAAGCCTGAGTAAAATTGCCTTCTAAAAGGAGATCTACAGAATGCAGGGATGCCCTTAGATTAATTCACAATTAACAGTAAGGATCACAATCGTCAGGGATAAGTGCATAGGCCTGACCCACGCAAACAAAACAGTCGTACAATGAACCTAATCGAAGCGATGGAGCAATTGGCAAGTTGACCATTAAACGCCTGACATAATATAAGTCGTACACATCAAGATAATCCAACGACACAGGATCAAAGCAACTTGGCCACTTACCCGGCCAAAGTCTGGTAGTAACTAGAGCACTTAGATGAAGATGCCAATTCAACAGTCAAAGTCAGGACAATAACATTATAAATGGAAGAATAAAGAAAAGCGAGAAAGGTAAAAAAAAAGAAAGGAAATAGAAAATCTTACTTCCTAAATAAATATTATATGACCGATCATATTTCTAACTTGATCATCGGAAGGTCCTTCTAGAGTGATCACTGATTAATTGATTTCTCTTTGCAGAGTAAATGAGGGATTATCTCGTTTTGTATTTCCTGTGAAAAATCTTTCTACCTTCCACAAATATAATTACATCAAATTTAAATAACTTATTATATTTTTCCAAAACCTCCAAGTTATTAATGTAACTTACACATAAAAAACAATAAGTGGTCTTCATAAAGTGGGCCAAACATGTATTTCTCTTTTCATCTTTTCCAAACAATTGGAGATCCTAAATTCATAACCCACTTTTTTTTCCACTTTATCTCTCTTAAATTATTCAGACAGAAGGAAAGGTATCACTACCTGTTTAGGTGATGTTTCCATTAAGACTATTATATTTTGTGATTGGATAGGTGTCCTTTAAAGCTTTAGGTCAATCAATTAGGTCAGGCTGGGCCAAATTCAAAAATAGTTTATCAAATAAATTTTTGTGTGTCAAATCTTGTTTATATTTTAAAAATTAAAAGACAATGAAATCGTTATTAATGTAATCTCATATGATTTTTAAGATAAGTATTGTAACTTTTTGTAGTTGTATTCATTGCCCTCGCTCAAATGAACGAAGCCTAGGTAGTGTGAAATAGAGAGAGAGAGAGAGAGGAGGAGACAGAGATGGACAAAGGGGTGGCAAGCAAGAGCATTGCCTTCAAACTTTTAAAAAATTACATTTTTGTGATGCAATTTTAATATTTATAATTTTAATCTAGTCCCTCCAAATTTTAAATTTTTTAAACTTTGCTATTTAAAATTTTGAAAAAATTTGTTTTCATATTATTTTCAGTGATTATAAAATGAATCAATATTTTGCCCACTTCAAAACTTTTAAAAAATCTCGTTACTTTCATATAATTTTAAATATATATAAAATAAATTAGTATTTTGATCTTCAAAATCTATATAATTTTACTTTAATTCCCTCTAAAATCTAAATAATTTTTCTTTAACCCCCCCTTTTTTTTGGTACAAATTTTCTTTTCTTCCCCCTCCCAAAAAAAATATTTTTTTTAAAGCTATGTACCACCATTAAAGATGCATTTAAGCTGGTTTCCACAATCCAGCCCACCACATAAAAGGCTCCAATTGCTTGAGTGAGTAAACTCATTTACATTGAAGGCCCATTGTTTGATTTGAGGCCCACCTTCGATTACGGGTCCCAAAAGAGTGACACAAACAAAGCTCTTCACCTTTGGATGACCTCCTTTTAGTTTTGGTCTCATAATTTTGAAAAAAAATTAGAAAAGATGTTTGGTTCAGTTTTTAAAATATAATTTGAATTAAATTTTTTTTTTTAAAAATTGGTTAATGAAATTTTAACACTTGTTTGGCATCCAAGTTTTTGGGACTATCAGCCTAAAATAGCCACATGAGACAAAATAGGCTAAAAAATCAATAAGATAAAATGTCATATCCAAACTATAATCATTTTATTTTTTCTCTCATAAAAGTCTAAGAAGTCAAAAAATCTATCTCAAATGAAGCTTTTTTTAGCCCTAGGCTAAGAGTCAAAAAGTCTGAGTTCAGATCTTCTCCTTGCAAGCCATACTTGCAAGCATCCTTGCAACAGTTGAGATCAGCTGTTGCACATCCAACAGCTGAGATTAAAAAAAAAAAAAAAAAGAAATTTGAAATTTCACTCAAATCCCGCCCGTTGCTAGTTATACATTGAAGCACAATCACTCAGCCAAGCTATATTTCACTTAGCCTCGCACTCAGTCGCCCTCCTCCACCGAACCCACCTTCACCGGCGACCAGTCCCCTAGACGGTACCGGCAACGACCAGTCCCCCAGACAGCACCGACGACCCACTCCAGCCCTAATATTCTCTGCTTCGTGAACCATAGCTCCATCGCGACCACCACCGGCTGAGCGAAGAAATTTGTTCATGAGGAACCAGGTTTGTATTCGAAACTCTGAAATTAAGAAATTAGGGTTGTGTGATTGAGATTGAAATTTCAAAATTAGGGATTTCACTGTGAATTTAGGGCTTTCACTGTGACAAAAATTAGGGCTTTCACAATGAAAGAAATTAGGGCTTTCACGGTGACAAAAATTAGGGCTTTCACAATTTCGGCTGAGATTTTGTGGGTTTTAGATGAGTTAGTTTGTCAAATTGATTAATTTTGTACTTGAGCTATCTTCATTGTCTTGCTTAAGTTTCGTCTTCATCGTCTTGCTTCCTCTTCTCATTTATTTTTGCTATGTCTCCACTTTATCATTTTCTGGTTAGTAACTAATCTGTACAATATTATATGCATTTGTTGAACATTGGACCAGTTGCACTACTTAAGCATTAATGTAGTCTCATTCTTTTTGTTGGTTTCATTGAATAGCTTGCTTGTGATGAAACCAAATCTGATTGACAAAATAAAGAATTATGAAGTATTAATGGTCTGTGGTCTTTTGATGTTACATTTAGCTGCGCAGGCTCACATTGAACTGTAATTAAATTATTTATTCCAAAATTCTGCATAGAATAGAATTCCAGAATTCCAGATAGGAAAGATTCTGTTTGATTCCAGAATTCCATATAGGAAAGATTCCAGAATTCCAGGCTCAAATTAAATTATTTATTCTAGAATTATGAAGTATTAATGGTTTGTGGTCTTTTGATGTTACATTTAACTTTATTTTAATTGAAGCAATGAAACACTTGCATAGAATAGAACATCTTATACTAAGTTCTTGTGGAGAAAAGTATTAGAGATATTTTCTGATAGGAAATATTCTATTTTAGGATGAACTATACTAAGTTCTGATAGGAAAGATTCTGTTTGAGTAGAAGATCTTTTCTTATACTAAGTTCTTGAGGCATGTGCTTGTAAGAAATTATATCTATGACACTAAGTTTCTTATACTAAGTTTGTTCTGTGTTTGAAGATGTTACACAAGAACTTAGTAGTTGTTCCACACTCTGTCCCTCTCCCATCTCCTCTATGGAACTAAGAATTGTAGTTGTTCCACAAGAACTAAGAAATTGTAGTTGAAGATGTTACACTAGTTGTTCCACATTGTTCCATTTTAAGTGAAGATATTTTCAGTTTGGCTCAAATTCTTTTAGCCTTTACACTCTGTCTCTCTCCTCTATGGAATTGCCATTTAAAAAAGTTCTCATGTATGCAGGTTTAAAAAATGGCTTCTTCTTCTAACATTAGCAACATAAGATTACAACCGAGGCTGTGCAATTGTGCAAGAACCGCTGCCATACATATTGTAAGAACCAATGACAATGGGAATCAAGAGCGTTTGTTCTTTGTTTGTCCATCAAAATATGTAAGTTTGTATTGAAAAATTTCTTCCTTTAGTAGTTACATTAATATTTGTCTTATTGAACTAACTGATTCTCATGCATTGTAGAGTAACACTCCCACTCCCCATTGCAATTACTTCAAGTTCGTGGATGAAGATGATGAAGATGTTACGTTTACGTCTAGAATCCGTTCCAACTGTACAACTTGTCATGCTATAACAGTCGAAGACTTTAACAGTATAAGGACGAGGCTTGACTATATGGAAAATGACTATGGTCGAAGACTTCAAAGGATGAAAAATAATATAAAAGTGATGGTGTATTTCATTGTATTTTCTATCATTTTGTACTTTATGATGTAACTTTTGTACTTTATTCTATTTTGGGGAACTGAATGGAAGTTTGTATCATTTTGGGTTTTATGTACTTCATCATGAACTAACTTATGTTTATGTATTTTGGGAAACATTTTGGGTTTTATGTACTTCATGATGTAACTTTCGTTATCTATTATGGAATGAATACACATTTGTTGATTTCCCTCAACTTGTATCTGTTATGGAATGAATGATGGAATGAATTTTCGGAAACATTCAATTTGTTATTTGTTATGGAATGAATGATGAATGAATGATGGAATGAAGCTCTAGCAGAACCATGAAACTCTAGCAGAACCATGGAATGATGGAATGAATGAATGATGTAACTTTTGTTATTTATTATTTGTTATCTGTTACCAACCATGTTATGGTTTTGAGTATGGCAGCAGTGCTATTTGTTTTATGCTATTTGAGTGTTAAATGATGAAGAATTTACAAATGAGCAGCATCATTGTTTAGAGGATACCTAGTGTACTAAAATTGAATTTTATGTTTAAAACTCTTAGCTGAACTAAGCCAGGTAGTTATGTTCAGCTCAGTTGATTTGAAACTCTATTGTGCAATATTATGTGCCATACCTGTCTGGCATTTAGTTGTATATAGACCTATCAAAGCCCAGCATGAGGCTAAGGTGAGCTCTTATATTCTAATTTTGTTTTCTATCTTACTCTTTTTTTTCCCTTCTTTATTTTGATGTGGAGTTTGTTACATTGATATTGTCTTGAAAGCATTGTTGAGTGCCAAAACTGATACTATTTTTTATTCTCTCAAGGGGTGTGTTGAACTATAAGGTTGCACTTCTGCTAGTTTAATCATGTAATTATGTTACCAAGCAAGTTATGGTTCTGAGCATACCAAATCCAACATTGGCACGAACATACCAGCAGATCCAACATACCCGAACCAGATGACAGCAGAACCAGCAGATTTTGGTTTAATAGCAGAGCCAGATCAGAACCAGCAGATCCAGACCAGACCAGACCAGACCAGAACCAACAACACATGTTATGGCACATTTTGGTTTAACAACATATCCATACCAGAACCAGCAGCACATTTTGGTTTGACATGTATGGTTCTATCATTAGCATACCATTCCCAACAGTAAATGATTCAACAAGCCATCAACATACAAGCCATTAACACATACATACAGGTACAAGCCATTAAAAGATTTTACAAGCCATTAACATACATACAGGTACACAGAATTTTCCAGCAAGGCATTACCTCAGAAGCCATTTGAAAACACAATCATTCTCATTACTTCACTTTCCAGCAACATCAGAATTTCAACATACATACAGTAGTAGTTTGAACACAGATGTTTAATACAATTTCAACGCACATTGGACTGGAGTTTGAACAGCAATTTGAACATCACTTTCCAGCCAGCAAGGCATTTGAACACACATAAAGGCCATTACTTCATTTCTCAGCAACATCAGAATTTGTGTAACAATCCAGCATGAGTTTGCTTCACAATTTGAGATGGTATGACTTCACTTTGTAGGCCATTTTCAGCTTCAGTTTGCTTGTCCATAGCCTAAAATGGACAAAGACAGAATTTAATTGAAAAAAAAAAAAAACTATTGTGGTTGTCCATAGCCTATAATGCCTCATGTTGTGCTTGTCCATAGTTTATTTTCTTTCAAATGCCTCATGTTCTCATTTGAATTCACTTTCCAATATCTTTTATTTTGCTTGTCCATGTTCTTTTTACTTCACAGTTTATTTTCCAAAATTTTCAACAACTAAATACATACTTCAAATAGAATTTTCAGCAACTCAAAATCCATAATTTTCAGCAACTACAAATTAAAAAGACAACAAGGACGAACCTGACTACACATTGGACTGTTTGATTCTTGAGAATATCGAAACCCAATGTCATATCCACATGAACCTTGCAGTAGTGACTGGAATGTTGGTTCAACAGGATACCGTTAAGGCATTGAATTTGGCAAAGAATTATGCATTACATCCAACTCCTGCAAATTGGCAAAGAACAATGTCATATATTAGGCTTCACATTCATGGTTTGAGTCACATATTATATCCATACAAAAAATACATACATTGTACTAACACTTACATGATATATCGGATTCATCAATGGCGGAGGAATAGAATTACCACCCATGGGCAAAGATGGAGGAAAATGATGAAGGGGAGGAAAAGGTTGAAGAGGAGGAACATGTTGACGAACATAGATATCTCCTCCAACAGATAATGGAAAAGGTGCAACTGTTGGACTTGTAATAGATTGTGACAAAGCCAAGCTGTTAGCGCGGGATTTGTTTTTGGAGTTCGCTACCAACGCCGCTTCGAATCCACCTTTTACCCTCCTTTTGTCTTTACTAGTTGCCAGTTTTTTCTTCAATCCTTTTGGTTGCACAGCATGATTCACATCTTCACAATCTACTTCAAAGCTTTGGGTGTCATCATCATTACTTACTTCATTTCCAACACCAAAAAGAGCACCTAACTTGCCTTCAACATTTGCACCTAATGTAGCAAGGTGTGCAATACAAAAATCATAAGTTTTTTCAGTTTCAGCAGCTTTACTTGTTAGTGCTCTAAATGCGGTCATCAATGTCTTATACCGCAAGGCTTGTTGGAATTTCACATCCACTCGAATGTCATTCCCCTTAATGTCCTTCACAATTTCGGCTCTTGCTTGTTTGGTCCACCTCTTTAGAATGTATTGTGAAGGAATCTCTTTCATCTTCAATATGTCTCTAATAATCTTCAATGAGTGACAACACAAGATTCTTTCCTTTTCAAACTTTGTACAATTACAACCCAATGAGCCATCCTCTCTATCTTTACTTTCTTTGCATGTTTGTTACCAACATCAACAACTGTGTAAATGGTACTAGTCTCGCCATATTCAATTGCTTCTATGTCCGATTCAATGGATCGAAAGTACTCATTTTGAAATTCCTCAAATATCTTTTTTGTGTAAATATTACCCATTTGAATTAACATTTTTATTGTTGCTTTCACCTTTGGTAGCCTTTGGCACAAAGCATATCCTGCTTCTAACTCCTTGTATCGCTTCTCGTAAAGTACCCTTTTCGAAATACATGAAGAATTCATTTAAGTTTAAATCAAAACGAATGTAATCCTTCAAAAAAGCATTAAAAGGTTCACTCAGTTGTGTGATACTCATTCCCGCAACCCATGTTGATCTAACATATGGCCAACCCTATTTTTCTTTCACCGCAAAAGTCAATTTCAACCAATGGTTTTCATGCGCATCATATTTATCAAGCATTTCCGCTCACTCTAACTTCCATTGATTTGCATCTTCAATGTCAAAGAAGAACTTATTTAGTACACCCTTTACCCCCTTATCTTGGAACAAACAATAAACATGTTTTAATGCATTTTGCATCAAATGCCAAGTACACAATCGGTGACTTGTGTCAGGCATAACGATGGGTATGGCTTTAGCCATTGTAGCATCTTGATCAGTGAACAATGTTTTTGGTGTCTTTCTTGACATAGCCTCTAGAAAATTTTGAAACAACCACACAAACGATTCGGCAGTCTCATCATACAACAATGCTGCACCAAATATAACTTTTTCCTTATGATGGTTGAATCCCACAAAAGATGCGAAAGGTACATTGGTCCATGTAATTTAACACATTGGTCCATATAATTTAACATTTGAAACAGTTTGCGTCGCAATTTCAGAGGCCATGACTTCACTTTGCAGCCCAATTTCAGCTTCAGTTTGCTTCTGTTTCTGCTTGTCCATAGCCTAAAAAAAAGACAGAATTTTTAGCAAGTAAATACATGATATCACAGAATTTTCATCAACTAAAAACCCATATTTTTCAGCAAGTATAAATTAAAAAGACAGCAAGGACGAACCTGACTACACATTGGACTAGTTGATTCTTGAGAATATCGAAACCCAATGTCATATCCACATGAACCTTGAAGTAGTGACTGGAATGTTGGTTGAGCAGAATGCCGTTGAGGCATTGAAGTTGGCAAATAACCTTGCACCAGATTGTGCCGCCAAATCTAACTCAATTGCTTGGGTAGTTGATATCTTTCTTTGTGACGGCAACATGTGGGCACACTCGGGTGATACAAGATCATGGTTGTGTTTTTCTTTGAAATCAGTCACAACATATTTTCCAGTACCCTCATCTAATTTGACATAAAGTCGAGCCTCACAACCGGTCCTAGTTTCGGCTCTAGGGTTTTTTGACAATGGGTCTCGTTTGTCACCCTTCCAAAATCCCTCCTTGTTGCAAACCAAAAGTCTACAAATAAGTTGGTTAGTGAACTTGTTCTTCCTACAAAAATCCCTTCTTATGCTAAACCCCATTCTTCCTCTATATGTATTATAAAAATCATACACACATTGTTCAGAATCGAATGTCATTCCCTGTTTTGGCTTCCAAGCACAATCATTCTCAGGTTCCATATCCATATGAAAATGCAACTGAAAACCCATATAAATAAAATCTTAGCTACATAAATAAAATCTTAGCTACATCAAAAAACACAATATCTACACTATCATCAAAGAACCCACTGTCACACTTGGATAAAGAAATAAGAAATGAGAACTAAATATCTTTAATAATAAATACACAGGGTTTGGCAAGTCACCAAATTATCTGGGCTCAATTTCTAAAATCATTTGCATTAAATATCTTTAATATGCAGAATAATGCATTGGCAACAGTGTTGAACAACAGATCACTTCACAATAGGTTATTAGAGACATTATGAACATAGGCAGAATAATGCATCTTTGCAACAGTATCCATTATATATCATCCATTTTAGAAACATACAGCAACAGATCATCTATGATGGATATATAATGGACATAGGCAGAATAATGAACATAGGCAGAATAATGTTCAAACTGATTCAAGTAGATAATATATAATAGATTTGTAATTTAGAAACATATTTCTAATTTGCCTCAACGGTATTGAACAACAGATCATCCATTTTTGAATCAGTTGAATGCCTCAAACTGATATTCAACATAATCATAAATTTCAGATCATCCATTTAAAAAAAATTGATTTCTAAACTGATATTCAATAGTAAATTGAGCGGCAAGTGGTGTATTAAAAAAATGGATGATCAGTTTGAGGCATTCAATATCGTTGAATCAGATCATCCTAAATTAGAAACATATTCAACACCGTTGAGGCATTCAACTAGATGATATCACCGAGGGGAACATCACCAAACTAATTTCCAATTTGCAATTTATACAAATATTCATTTTTTTGTGTGTTTTATTATATGTTATCACCAGTGATTAGAAACATATTCGTTATAATTTAAATTTGGCAAACCTCTGATTTACAGAGACAAAGGGGAACTGACCTGTGGTTTCACCGTCGTCGGTCCTTGCAACGGCATCGAGATTGGGTAGACTGGGTCGCTGTTGGTATTGGGTCGCCGTCTAGGGTGGGTTCGGACTAGAAAGAATAAGTGTGTGTTGAATGAGCGTGTGTTTTTGTGTTTTCCCACGAAAATCTACTTGCAACGCTGTGTTTTGTTTTGGGCGGGAAGAAAGTGAAATTTCAATTTTTCCTTTTTTTTTTATTTTTTTTACAGCTGTTAGATGTGCAACGGCTGATCTCAGCCGTTGTAAGGACGCTTGCAAGTATGGCTTGCAAGGAGAGGATCTGAACTCAAAAAGTCCACCCACATCCCAAACGAACCCTTAATATACAACTCAAAACTCAATTTCTCTCTCTTTTCTCACTCTTTTTTTTTTAAAAAAAATTATTTATTATTATTAATAAATCAATCAATCGTTTTTTTTCTCCCCTCTCCCCTCTCCACATTATATACATCAATCAATCAAATTTTCTCACACATCCATCTATTAAAAAAAATTACAAATCATTCTAAAACTATTTTTAAAACTTATGACTAAGCCCTGGTTTGGCTATCATTTTGGGGCTAAAAAAACACAAAATGACAAAATAGTTAGACAAAATATCACATTCAACCAATAATCATTATATTTTTTCTCTCATAAAAGTTAAAAAAACCAAAAAATCAACCAATAATCATTATATTTTTTCTCTCATAAAAGTTAAAAAAACCAAAAAATCCAATCCAAACAAGGCTAAGCAAGTCCCTGCTAAAAAAATCCCAACACAAAAAAGTTGGCTATATTAGCCAATGCCAAACGAAGCTTAAACAAATTTCAACTTTCCAAACTCTTTTCAACAACTTATCTTTCAAAATACAACTCAAAACTCATTTTAAAAACTGACTCTAAGTCAATTTCTTAATCTTTTGGGCCATTAGGTCAAAACTTTATTCTCTTTGAGACAAAATGATACAATTTGTGTAAAAGTGCAGCTATCTGTTGAAATCAACCTATCTGTCTATCTCTTAAAATTATCTTATCTCTTAAAATCACCCAATTCGTCTATCTGTTGAAATTCACCAAACTATCTATTTATTGAAATGTGACACATGTCACTCGTTCAACACTCTATTTGTTGAATATCACATATTTATTTACCTTATCACCACCACCTGCTGCCGCCAGCCGCGTATCACTGCCGCCGACGACTTTTCTAGCCAATTTTTCGACGACTTTCCCAGTGCTAGTGAATTTTTCCAGCAACTTTTCCGGTGTTGTTGAGTTTTTCGACATATCCTTAACACCAATAAGATTTTAACTTGGATCTAATGTTTTATATTCTTTTTAAATTAGATTTTTTACTAATTTTTTTTATAAACACACACACACACACACACACAAGATCGATAGATCTCAAGACACTTCCTACAAAATTTAAAATACTTTTTAAAACTTTTTACACTTTTCCAACACACTCTCAATCATATTTCTAATATTAAGAAGTACCCAGCATTTGTTTGAATTTATTATGTCTTTATCATGTGGTCGTTGTTTATTACACGATGAAGCTCACTGAATTACATACTAGTAACTTGAATAGTGAGCGGCAAGAGAGAATTTAACATCAAATAAAAATAAAAAATAAAAAGAAAGAGAGTTTGATTTTGTTCACATTATCAAAGTACATCAAAAAAAAAAAAAATTTATTGGTTCAAAAAAATAAGTTTGACGATTTTAGGTAAGGTCAATATGGATGCAAAATTCATAGTTAATATTTTGTTCACACGCTGGTCGAGAGATGGTATTGAAAAATGAAGATTGTAGAGTATTGTTGAAGAAAAATAGAAAGAACAATCCAATTTAGTAAATTTTTTGGTAGTTTTGGTTTATCTCACAGGTGGTGTTTTGTTCTAGTTATAGAGTGCGATAAGAAAGGACTTTCTTCTATTTTTCCCTCTATTTTCTATGGATTCAAATCATATCCATTACATAAATAAATGAAAATTATACTTCAAAATAAAATATTATGAAATATTTACATTACCATTTTTTTAAATTGAAAAAATATTAACAATATTTTGAAATTTTAAATTGACTTAGGGTTGGTTTGGGAAGTGAGTTGGCTTTTTTGACTATTTTAGCCTGGGCTAAAAAGTTTGGTTTAGAAAGGGCTTTTTGGTTTTTTGGTTTTTTGGACTTTTTTTGTGAGAGAAGAGTGTAATGATTATGGGTTGGATGTGATATTTTGTTTCTTGTGACTAAAATAACCTATTTTGTCTTTTATGGCTAAAATAGCCAAAAAAGCCCACAATCTATCTTCCCAAACGGAGCCTTAACAATTATATATCAATAATTTGAGATTTTAATAATCTATCACAATTACAAATTATTAGGGGTGCTTGTGGTCGGGCGTGTTGCATATCATCCGCCACCCTATTGAATGGAATTTAGGTTGAGAAAATCTCATATACGTATGTGATTTTGAAATTGATCGAGCAAGTTGGGCAAATTAGTGAATGGATGTAGATTGAATTAGCAGATTAAACAAATCTTAATTTTACTAAACAAATCCTATGTTACAAATTTAATTTTTTTTAACTAATGAGGCATGGTTTAGGAAGAGAGTTTGGGGGATTTTTGGGCTAAAGTAGTCACAAAAACAAAATAGGTTTTTTAGTCCAATAAGATAAAATATCA